ATAAAACCTTTATCAGAAAGAAGGGGGAAATTAGCTTGCTATGGGGCACGTGTGCTTGCATAGAGAGAGAAATAGAGAGGGAAAGTGAGAAATCACCCCCCAGGGGAGTGGCCATGCTGTGATCCCTTCTCTACTATCCTCTTGGGATTTGGGGCACACACGTACATGCACACGCACCTGTTGGGTTTTGTTTTCTTTTTTCCCTTTTTTGGAGAGGTTTATTGTTGTTGTTGTTGTTATAGGGAGCGTGTGCTCGCCAGAAAGACAGAGACAGAGAGACAGAAAGCAAGAAATCTCCCCCTAGGGGGAGATGGCCATGCCACAATCCCTTCTCCTCCTTTCTCCTCTTGGGATCTTGGGCACGCACGCACAAGCACCGGTGTGAGTTTAAGCCACCGGGTCCGGGATTCGAACTATGGTCGACTACATGGGAGTCCAGCAACATAGCCATTACGCCAACTGCTGATCCCCACCTGTTGTGTTTTTCAAGCCACTGTTTCTGGGCCTTGAACCACACAGTCGGCCTGTGGGATCAAGCCACTTTAACCTCTGTGCCCTCAAATTGTTGAAAGCTTATTTATTTGTTTCTTCCAACAGAGAGCAGGAGAGAGAGAGGCACCCCCCAACAGGGTCTTCACACCACAAGCCACCCCCAGTCTCGGCCAGTCGGGTCATAGGCGCGTACACTTGTGCCCATGTGGGAGGGCTCTGGAGGTGGACCCATCTTCCCACGTGGGTCCAGTTGCATGACTGTTATACCATTATCTGGCCCCAGAAAATTATTTTAAATGCCTGGTTTTCTGAGGGCTTTGTAATATAGTTGTCCCTGTTCCCATTCCCTCTCCCTAAATGATCTGGTCAGGTTCCACTAAGGCTTTAATTGAACGTGATTCCCAAATTCATGCCCTAACCAAGACTTTCTACCAAATGACTTGTATGCCCAACCACATAACATCTCCACTTCTAAAAGACATCTCAAACTCAGCATGTCCAAAACCAAGTTCCTGATTCCCCTCAGTCTACACCTCACATCTTAAAATGCCGCCCCAAATTCTAAGAAGCTAAATGGAAAACAAAACAAAACAAAAACAAACAAAGAAATTTTAAAAAGGGACCAGCAGTTGGCGCAATGGCTATGTCACTGAACTTCCACGTGGTCGACCACGGTTCAAGTCCTGGACCTGGTGGCTTAAACTCAGGCCGGGCGCGTGTGCATGCATGCCCAAGATCCTGAGAGGAGAATGGGGGAGAAGGGCGTGGCCATCCCTCCCTGGGCAGGTGGTGATTTCTCGCTTTCTGTCTCTGTCTTTCTGGCGAGCGCACGCGCCCTATAGCAAAAACCTCTCCCCCCAAAAAAGAAGCTAAATGCTTTTTTCTTAAGCTCAGAAACAAGGCAAGGATGTCCACTCTCACCTCTCCTATTTAACATGCCATCTGGAGTCATACCCAGCACAATCAGGCAAGAAAATGAAATGAAAGACCTACAGATTTGAAGGGAAGAACTGAAACTCTCCTTTTTTGGTATTGCCAGAGGGTACATGTGCTTACCCGAGAGAGAGAGAGAGAGAGAGAGAGAGAGGACGGGCACCCACTTCCAAGTGGGACGTGGTCCCACTGCGATCCTTTTCCCTCCATTTACCCATCCCATCAGGATTTTGATTATGCATGCTCACGTGCCTGGTGTGTTTTTCAAGCCACTGGGGCTAGGATTCAAAGGGTGGTCAGCATGCCGCATCCAGCTTCCGACGCATTGCTGTGCTGCAGGCCAGCCCTAAGACTGTCCCTCTTTGACATGACTGTCTACTTGGAAAATGCCAAGGAGTCCCCCCCACACACACAAAATTCCTAGAACTAATAAGTGAGTTTAGCAAGGTGGCAGAATACAAGGTCAGAACAAATCATTGTTATTTCTATGCACTAGCAACGCCGTTGATGATAGCTCCCTGCAAAAGTAAAATGCGTAGGGATACCCCTACCAAGCATGGTGAAGACTATAGAACGCTGGTTAAATCAGAGAACTAGGAAGTAGTTCACACCTACAATTAAACAAACAAATGAACTGAATGTGTTCACGGTTAGAAACTCAACAGCGTGCAAACACGAAGCCTCCCACATTGATCTACGGAGTTAATACAACACCAGTAGAACCGTGGTGATGGAAAACAGCCCAGGGGTTGGCGAGTTGAAGGATGGGGGGTGTTGTGTGACAGCAGAGCCAGCACAAGGCAGTGTTTGGGGGGTGATAGACCCGTTCTGGATCTGGACTGCGGTGTGATTACAGACTGCCCGGCTTCTCCATTTCCTTTCACAGCTGGGGAAATGGAAGCCCCACCCCTGGAGGGGGTCACGGTGGTAACCTCAGTGCTAATTTCAGAGTTCTGCTCTACCACCTGCTTTGTGTAGCCTGGGGCAAGTCCCTCCTCTTTACAAAACCGCACTCTTCTATAGAGGCTGAGAATCCCTCTGTCCACCGCAGAGGGCGTTAGTGAGGCCTTATGCAGAAGTGCAGGCCATGGCCCTGATTCCATTTTGTCTGTGTCCTTTACAGATTGCTCATATAAGCTCCTGGAGAGCGGTGTCACTTCGCTGGCATGTAGCATATGTACAGAAAAGCGTCCATACTGTAAATTGACAGCTTGTTGGATTTCCAGACCACACTCACCTGTGTAGCCAGCGCTCAGATAACAAATAGAACTTGGCCAGCACCTCAGAAACCCCCTTTAGTCTCACCATCCCCCAAGTGGAGTCTTTATCTTGCCTTCCAACGCTGAAGGTTAGTTTTTGTACTTTATATGAGGGGACACCAAAAATGGAATTAAACTATGAGTTTATTTTGGTACAAAAATAATCGATAACACATGCATAGTTTATTCCCTTAATACATATTAATATTTTCCACAAACTTTTTGAAGAGCACCCACCCACACACACACACACACACACACACACACACACACACACATTCCCCTCGGCAAATCTAGAATCACACTGTACGTGCCCCTGGGTCTAGCGTCCCTTGCTCGCTCGCGCCTTTGTGAAGTTCACCCACACAGCTGCGTGGCACTGTAGACCCGTCCTTGTTGCCACAGAGGTTTCCACGCTGTGGACACACACGAAGTGTCCGGGCAGTCCGCTGTAGGCAGACACAGTTCACACGCTGTGGAGGACCGGGCTGATGGGGACACACTGTTGGGGATAAGCGGTCATCGGGGGTACATGTGATGCTCAGCTTCGACGGATGTGGCCTGCTTCCCAGAGCTGCCGCACCAGTCGGCACTCCACGGGCTGTGAAGGGACACTGGCCACTCTGCCGCTCACCAACACTCGGATTTTCCTGCACACACAAAGGAAACAACTGGGGACGATCTCTCCCTTGCCCCAGCTGCCTCCTTTCAACATCGGCTTTCAACTGATGTCAGTATTTACTGGGCCAAACACCCGGGGTACAGAGACAAACAAGGCAAAGTCCTCGCCCCAAGAAGCTTCCAGAGTGGTACTTCAAGTGGCATGAAGTTCAGAGGGGGTATATTGGAACCAGTGACCATCCTGGAGGGTTCCTGAAGAAGGTGACTTCATTTCGCAAGGATTTGAAATACTATTTTAATGTATTAATATTTTATATCGATGTAATTACTTTTTAAAAACGACATTAGGATTTGCTGTAGAGGCATTTGGAAGCTGAAGCAGGACTAAAATATCTGAAGTCATCTGCAATCCCAGGGCTCAGAGTTAAGTGCTGTTAGGTGTGAGGCATTTCCTGCCACTTCCTCCCCTCCCACCCAGCAGGAGCCCTGGCCTCTGGCACTGGGTTGCAGTTTGCACAAGGTTGAATCAAGATCCTTTTCCGGTGGTAGAGTAGCTTCTTATCACATCAGCTTTGTTGACTAGGAGAGGGTTTCTGCCATTTCCCACCACAAATGGAATAGTCATGTATACCCTGGCTTGGGTTGAAGTAATAGCGTCATTGCTCAATGGAACTCTTGCCATTTAAAATGGCTCTTCTTTCCGGTAACTTTCACACACAGCAGAGTTAGTGCTTCCCTCAGCTGCCAGTGGGGCCGTCCCTTGTAATCCGCACTGAATGACCGCAGTTTAAAAACATTCTTATGCCATTAATACATGCTCATTTTAGGCAACTTGGAAAATTCAAAAAAAAAAAAGAGGAAATCATTCACTGGCCTACCACCCAGAGAAAACCACATAAATGTTTTGGTGTATTTCCGTCCAGTCTTTTTTTTTTTTAAATAATGTTTTTTGAAAATGATGAAGGTAACATCTCCACACAAAAGAAAATCTGGGAAATGTAGGAAAAATAGATAAATACATAAATAAATGGAAGACCTCCCAGAAATGGCCACCCTTAGCGGCCAATCTTCTCCTAAATGCTCCTACGGCCTTTATACCTCCTACCTTGAGGGCACGCTCTAGAAGAGCACTTCCATAAGATGTCCTTATGAGAGTGAATGTCTCGGTGAGGAACGGAGGACTCTTGCTTTAGCCCTGCTGTGCTTGGGCCGAGTCATTCTAGAATGACTGTTCTAGAATAATGCTTCTCAAGTGTGGTTGGCGGCACCTGGGAGCTTATCAGAAATACAGTCAGAGGCTCTGGGGATGGCGCTGGGATCTATTTTAGCAAGCTCTTCAGGAGATCCTGATGCTTGCTACATTTTGAGAAGTTCTACCCAGAAGAACTGAGCTCTGGAGGTGAGGGGTTGAGCGTGGGAGTTCGCTTGAGAAACGGGAGGAAACTGCTTTGCAACACAGAACTCAATCAGCCTTATACAACTGTCTGCGTGATTAAGCTTCCCGAGAGAGGGCCTGCCTCGGCTCTCTCGGCTCTCTCGGCTCGGCCTCTCAATGCCAAGCCCCCCGCCTGGGCTGTAATAGGTGCTCAATAAATACTTACTGAATGAATCAGGGGACGAAGAAGTGAGTGGAGAAGTGAACGTGGACCTGCGCCCCACATGTCTTTTTTTCCCTCCCTTTTTTTTAATTTCTAGGATTGGAACATCAGCTAAGATCTGACCACTGCCAACCCACCCCCTCACACCCACATCGGTCGTGTCTCTGGGCCCCAGAGAGGAAGCAGGTCACGGGGAGCACCATGATTTCGCCACTGTTAGTGCTGGCCCTTGGCACCTGCCTTACCACCTCCTTAGTGCCAGGTAGGACCGGGAAGCTGCAGGTGGAGGGATGGGAAGACCTGGTACAGGTGGGGTAGGATGAGATGGTGTATGCGTTCATGGTCATGAACGCATCAGAATTTCTTTTTTTTTTTTTTCCTTCTTTTTCTTTTCTTTTCTTTCTTTCTTTCTTTATTTTAGGTTTTTGCCATATGGAGCTTTCTGCTTGCCAGAGAGAGACAGTGGGAGGGAAAGTGAGAAATCACCCCCCAGGGAGGATGGCCATGCCATAATTTCCTCTCCTCCAGTCTCCTCCTGGGATTTTGGGTACTCATGCACATGTGCTTGGTGAATTTTTTTTTTTTTAATAGATTTTTGTTATAGGGCATGTGCGCTTGCTAGAGAGACAGAAAAACAAGAAATCAAGAAAACAAGAAATCATCCCCAAGGGGGGAAGGCCATGCCACAATCCTCCGTTCTCCTCTAGGGATCTTGGGCACGCACATGCACCTGGCGTGAGTTTTAAGTTGCCGGGTTTGGGACTCAAACCATAGTCGACTATGTGGGAGTCCAGCGACGTAACCATAACCATCTGCTGGACCCACCTTGAGTGATCTTTAAATCGCCAGCTCTGAACTGCCGTGGACTGTGTGGAAGTTCAGAGCTTTCCCCACTCGCCACCTGCTGGCCCCCAGGATCCAGAATATTTAAGAGCTGGAGACGAGTGCAAGGCAGAGCCCCCAGCTCGGCTGTGGCCCACGGTAGTGGCTATGTCACTCTTTTCCCCTTTGCGCTATTGTTGTTTTTTTTTCTTTTAATTGTCGCAGAGTATGTGCACTTACCAGGAAGACAGCGAGAGCGAGAGAGAAAAGGCAGCCCCAGTGGGGCATGGTCAGCCCTTAATCCCTTCCCCTTCTCTCCTCCATCCTGTGGGGATTTGGAGCGCGCGCGCGCACACACACACACACACACACACACACGCAGCTCAGGTGTTTCCAAGCCCCTGAGGCTGGGCTTTGATCCACACTGAGCCATGCAGAATCCAGTTCCCTTAACCACTAGGCTGTGGGGCTGGCCCTCCCGCGGGGTCTCTGTTCTCTTTTATCTCTAGTAATCTGAATATGTCTAAATATGACTACAGGTCACCCCAAAGCCTGGCGTGCTAAGTCTCCTGCTGGTTCTGTCTACTTCCTGTCTGCCATGGTGTCCGTGCACCACGACTGGGTCCTGGACAGGGTTTATGCTAATCTCTTAGTCTGCAGTTCTTACCCTATGAATCCAGAACCCCTCTGAGACCTGGCTCAGATTTCTAGTTGCATTCCCACGTCTCATCAGTGGCCGTCTTTCCTCATCCCTCGCACCGCTCCAAGGCAAAATGTGTATGTGGAAACCTCTTCATCCCGGACCCGTGTCTGCTGTGACTCCCGCGGCCCCTCCGCACCAGCTTCTGTTTACCTCCTGGTTTGGAAGGGTCCTGGAAGTCCCTGCACCCAGTGTACGTGGTCAGGATGGGCAGACATGTTTCACCACCCAGTTGCCAAAGAGGCTGGGAATTTCCCTTCCTTCTTTTATTCTTTTTTGAAGCTAAGTGCCGGTTTGGGTTGTTAATTTTTTCTGATTGCTGTTGTTAGCATTTCTGTATGGGTAATGGAGAAGGGAGTCCTCCCCCTGCCCTGACTCCATCCACTGTGAGACTGCACGTCCCCATTCGCCATCCCCCAGCCTGGGTTTCTTCATTTGTCCAGTGGAGATAATAGTTCTTCCTCTTTCCAGCTGTCATGAGAATTACTTGGGACAGTCCCCATGTCTGGCAGGGAGTGAGTGTTCAGTGAATGTTGGTCTCTTCTCTTGGGAGGCTATGTTTCAACTGGGGTGCAGAGGGAGCTGGCCCTCCATGGGTCATGCAGCAGATCTGTGGCAGAGCTAGGGTGGCCTCCAGGCCACGGGCCCACAGAGATCCACCTTTCTGTGTGTGTCCATGGGCACCTAAGGTCCCTCTGGGATGGGATTCCTGCTTTCTCAGAACCCACAACAACCTGGGTGAAAATGAACTGATGGATAAAAAGGGAAAAGATAAATATGTATGAAGTGAAAAATCTTTAAATGTTCAGCAGCTCATTTTTCCCCCCCTAGGGGATTTTGCCATAGGGGATGTGTGCTAGGCAGAGACAGAGAAAGAAAGTGAGAAAGCATCCCCTGGGGGGGATGGCCACAATCCCCTATCTTCCATTTCCCTCTTGGGGTTTTGGGCACCGCACGCACATGTGCCCAGTGTGTTTTTCAAGTCTTTGGATCTAAGACTTCAACTGCAAAGTCAGCCCCCTGGGATCCAGCCACCCTAACCACCATGCTATGGGCCGGCCTCAACAATTCAACTTTTCTATCTGTTTCATTTCAGCCATTCCATAGGTAGGTAGTGAGTGGTATTACATTGTGTTTTCTTTTTTTAAAGTTAAATATAACTTAGACTAAATGGCAGAATATGAAATGCATAGCACAAGTTGCCACACAGGTTTGTAGCCATGTGATCACCACTCAGGTGGACAGAACATTGCCAGGCCTGGGACATCAGTAGGCGTCACTGCGCTCCTCCCACCAACCCCTTCCCGCACCAGACAAGGTGACCAGGCTTTCTGCTGCCACCATAGACTCGTTTGTCTTGTTCCAAGCTTGGAATGAACAGAACCACACAGTACGCACCGATAAGTACTCTTCTCGGCTAATAGTTTCCAAAAACAATGACCTCCCAGTACTCAATTGTCCAAAGCCAGTTCTCCGATGAGGGAGTCAGCTTGGCACCAACTAAACTGTTCTCAGACGGCCCTGGGGTGGGTCTGGTGAAAAAGATGACGGTGCTGTCCTCGCCAGACTCCCGTCTAGCAGGGAACAAGCACACCAGGTCCCAGGCAGACTGCTGGCCGAGCCTGTGCTGAGAAAGAGCGACCATGCAGGGCAGGCTTGCGTCAGCCCAGCCCCTGGGCCTGCCAGGCCGCTGAGCCGAGGTGCGCACGGGGCCTCACGGGTGTGCACGGGGAAGGCAGGAAGGAGATGGGAATCAGCCCAAGCTATGGGAAACCAGAGGCCCAGGCGGCTTGCCCAGGCTTCAGCTCATGTCATCCTAAAACTGCCTTGGGCAGCTACCGTGCTCCCCGGGGCAGAACCCCTGATGGATGGAACTTGCCTAAGGCACACAGCTGATGAAGGGCCCAGAGGCTCTGGTTCCCAGCTGGGGGTGCGCAGTAAGATCTGAGATTGCTGATCCAGGTCTGAGACTGGTTCTGCTGCTCCCTCTGGCTCTGTTCTCCGTGTTTTCATTACCAAATGTGGAGGAAATGGAGGTATCCACCTTCCAGGGCTGCGGGGCTAGAGACCTGCTGTGTGAGGAGCTGCTGGCATGTGGGGCGGAAACCTGTGAGAAGGGAGAGCTGACCTTCACCCACAGGTGACCCAGGCAGGCATGGCTGGAGGCGGGCCAGGAGACGAGTACTATGTCCCCAGTCCCAATGTGCACGACAGCCTTGGATGAGACCCTCCCCCTTCCCGATGTCGAAAGAGGGAGTTCCCTGTTTAGCAGGTGGTACAGCAGTTAAGGTGATTGGGTCCCACATGACTGACTGCAAGGTTCGAGCCCCGGACCTGGTGGCTTGAAAAACATGGGGCGCATGTGCATGTGTGCCACAAAGCTTGAGAGAAAGGAGGAGAAGGGGTTGTGGTGCGGCCATCCCCCTTCGAGGGATGCTCTCTCTCTCTCATACTGGTGATCACACACATACCATAGCAAATATTTTTTAAAAGAAAAGAAAACAAGAAAGGGAATCCCCAAGGAGCATCTAGCTCTAGGCTTCTGTGCCCTGATGGGTCCGATGGGGCCCAAGCGTGGAGTGAAGCCCTGCAGGACGGAGGGAAAGACTTGATTCTCACTGACAGGAAGCTGGGCCTTTGCTCGGAAGGAAAGGGAGTTCCAGCCCTGGAGGGGGGATTCTGTGGGGGCAGGGGCAGGGGATTGACCACCCTCTCCTGTGGGTCAGCAGTGTTACTCACCTTATCTAATCCAGTCCTTTTCATGGCCCTGAGGGGACAATGGAGACCACGCACTTGACCTTGACAGGGAAGGAAACTGAGGCTCGAGGAGGTCCCTTGCCCAGAGTCTCATAGCTGGTACTTTCACAGCTGGGTGTTGTTTGTTTGTTTGTTTGTGTGTTTGTTTATCCACAGGGCGCCTGTGCTTAATATAGAGACAGAGAGAGGGAAAGTGAGAAATCAACCCATCCGTGGATGGCCACACACAACCCCTTCTCCTCCTCCGTTTTCCCTTGGGATTTTGGGCATGCATGCACATGTGCCCAGCGTGATTTTCAAGCTACCAGGTCTGGGACTCGAGCTGTGGTTGGCTGTGTGGGATCCAGTGCCTTAATCACCCTGCCACCTGCTGGCCCCAGCACAGCAGGGGTTTTAACTGAGGCCTGCCAGACTGCTGAGCTGAGGTGCGCACGGGTCCTCACGGGTGTGCACAGGGAAGGCAGGAAGGAGATGGGAACCAGCCCCGAGCTCTGGGAAACCAGAGACTCAGGCGGCCTGCCCAGGCTTCAGCTCTTGTCCTAAAACTGCCTTGGACAGCTACCGTGCTCCCTGGGGCAGAACCCCTGATGGACACTAAAGTGTCTGTGAGACACTAAAGGGGAGCGTTTGCTGGACACACATATACATGCACATGAGAGAGACAGAGACAGAGACAGAGAGAAAAAGCGTGAGAAAAAGAGCATCCCTAGTTCTCACTGTCAAAACCGTTGAGCGCTGTCCGAATGGGAGTTGGTATCAGGGCTGAGTGACAGATGGTTAGCGATACCAAAGGTCCTCCTTCTGAACTGATCCTCGCAGAAGGGAGATTGCGAGGCGACTTTAAGTTCGATGCATTAAACAAAAGACAAGTCTTACTGTCACCAAGTCAGGTTCCTGCCGAACCAACTTTAATGACTAAGCTGACAAGGGTTTATCATTGACCGCGGCTGCGCGGGGTGGCCCGCAGGTGAAGACCTTCGCTGTGCAGGTTGAACGTGACCTCCCGACTGGGCTAGCACAGTTTATTTGCTGTCTCAGCGGAACGCCCCTGCTGGGTGGGAGGACGGAGCTTGGCTTTGGAGTGAAGCCCGGCAGGGCCCGCGTCTGGCAGCGCTGGGCGGCCTTGAGCGCATCACCTGGCGTGTCTCGGCCTCAGTGTCTTCGTTCTGAGACCCGGGAGAAGACTCCGGGGTCCACAGGCTTGTTTGGAGGACTGGACTGGCGCGCGTTTGCAGGCCACAAAGTCACGTTATCTGAGATGGACCACGAACCACAATAGTTGCCCCCTCCGAGTTGAGGCACTCTCGCCCTCAGTAAAGGGGGGCTGGGGTGGCTCTAAGTCTGGAGGTGAGAAGCTGCCCTCACACCTCGCCAGGTAACTCTGCCTCCCTCTCTCTCTGCAGAGAAGGAGAAGGACCCCAAATACTGGCGAGACCAAGCCCAGCAGACTCTGAAGAATGCCCTGGACCTTCAGAAGCTCAACACCAACGTGGCTAAGAACGTCATCCTGTTTCTGGGGGATGGTGAGCCTGGGCCTGGTGTGGGTGCTGGGCAGGGGACCTTGGTAGGAGCCCTGGGAGCCAGGCCGAGGCGAAAGGGCTGGGGCTCTGAGAGGAGGGTGTTTAAGAGAATGGAGGGGCCAGGCTGTGGACGCAGGTGGTCCCTATAGCTCTGGGGAGGGAAGAGAAAAGAAGCCACCCAGTCACACTGACACTGAGACTCCTCACTCCGCCGCAGGGATGGGCGTCTCCACGGTGACGGCTGCTCGCATCCTCAAGGGCCAGCTCCACCACCACCCGGGGGAGGAGACGAGGCTGGAGATGGACAAATTCCCTTTCGTGGCCCTGTCCAAGGTGAGCCTCAGCCCTGCCCCTGCCTGGTCCGAGCCTGTCACCTCTCAACCTGGCGACCTGGAGGAAGGAGCTCGGACCTCCTGGGCCCCTGCAGCCCCGCTGTGTGACAAGGACAAGGAGGGCAGCAGTTATTTCCCAAGTGCGGTGTGTACAGGGGAAATTGCACCAATTACACAAACCAGATTTCCATAAATTGCATGTCTTTTATTTTGGTGGGGGGAGGTTTGCATGCGCTTGCTAAAGAGACAAAGAGACAGAAAGCAAGATAGTCACCCCTCAGGGGAGATGGCCATGCCACAATCCCTTCTCCTCCATTCGGGATTTCAGGCATGCACACACACACGCCTGGCGTGAATTTCAAGCCACTGGGTCTGGGACTCAAACCACAGTCAGCCACGTGGGAGTCTGTCACCTTAACCACTACACCACCTGCTGGCCCCATTGAACACATCTTTATAATCAATATCCAGGTCAAGCACCTGAATGTGACGGCAGCCAGTGGTCCCCTCCCCACTGGGAGCGGCCAAGCATCCCCTGTCCAACGCCATAGATTAGCTGTGCCTGCACACCTGTGTGTTTTACAGAACTGGCTAGGGAATTCTCTGTGTCTCCCTCCCAGGGCGACTTGAGGGTAACCAGAACACCGGTGTAAACCGTTGGACACGATGCACACTGGCCGCAGCCGTCCTTCCTGGAGGCAGCCGTCGTTCCTGGTGGCGACTGTTGTTAGTGGTGGCGGCTGTCATTACTGGTGGCTGTCATTGCTGGTGGCCGTCGTTCCTGGTGGCTGTCGTTCCTGGTGGCTGTCATTACTGGTGGCGGTGGCATTGTTGGCGTTGGCATTATGTACTGAGCAGCCTCCGGCCTTTAGCTGAGGCCCACTTGGGGGACGGCAAGAACCGAGAAGCCTTCTGTGCCTCTGAGGAGCTCCCAGGGTGGGGAGGGAGACAGGTCAAGAGTTTCAGGGTCATGGGAACCAGCAGTTAGCGTAATGGCTATGTCGCTGGATTCCCACGTAGTTGACCGCAGTTCGCTCCCGGACCTGGTGGCTTAGAACTCACACTGGGTGCGTGTGTGTGCGTGCCCAAGATCCCGAGAGGAGAATGGAGAAGAAGGGATTGTGGGGTGACCATTCCCCCTGGGGGGTGATTTCTCGCTTTCTGTCTCTATGTCTCTGTCTGTCTGGCGAGCGCACACGCCCTATAGCGAAAACCTCTCCAAAAAAAAAAAGAGTTTCAGGGTCTTTACTGGAGCTCTGTAAGGGGTGAGGGACAAGCTGTCAGCACTGGCCGCTCAGCCCTCTCCCCACCTTTCTTCTTCCCTCCTCACTGTCCCCTGCCTACCCCTAGGCCCTGTCTCCTTTGAGAGCACCCTTCCCTTCTCCAGGGCCCTCTGCTCTCCCGTACCCCTGTGGGCCCTGCAGCCCCAGCCCCAGAGTGAGCCTCAGCCCAGCACTTGCCCCTGTGCTGGAGAGCTGGGCTCCACCCCTGCTGCTGCCTGTGTTTGCCAGTGGGCAGGAAAGACAGCAGAAAGCAGGCACCGAGGTGCAGGGCACACTTCCGTGGGTAGCAGGGCCCAGCCCTGGCTGCAGGGGGTCTCTCTGTGGCTCTCACACCCTAGTCCCTGGGGTGCAGGTGGAGGGGGGCTGGGCCTGGCCACCTCCTGACCCTCCTTTGTCACCTGCAGACATATAACACCAACGCCCAGGTCCCCGACAGCGCAGGCACTGCCACCGCCTACTTGTGTGGGGTGAAGGCCAACGAGGGCACCGTAGGGGTGAGCGCGGCCACCGAGCGCTCCCGCTGCAACACCACTCAAGGCAACGAGGTCACCTCCATTCTGCGCTGGGCCAAGGACGCTGGTGAGTGCAGTGCGGGGAAGCAGGCCAGCTCTGCGGCCTGTCTGGGTCCGTCTTTCCGGTCTACAGTGGAGAGAGGGTAGGACAGGCGTTTTCCAGGGCGCACACCCTGACGTTCTGGGCGTCTGTGAAAGTCACGGGGTCCCTCCTGGGACAGGGAAAGCCTGTGGCTTAGAGGGTTGCTCAGATGTGGTCTGGGCCTGGCTCATTTCCCCGTTTACTCATCTGCCGATCAAATGGGCATGAAACATAGACCCTCTTAGGTTTGGTGTGAGGAGGGTCAAGGACCCAGGCCCTCCCCTTTTCCCCTCCTCCTCGGCCCTGGGAGGCCTGACCCCAACCCCAGGCAATCAAAGGGACTGCTGGAGACTGATCTGTAGCTGGAGGGGGAGAGAAGGCACCCTCCCATTGCAGCTGAAGCCAACCCCTCCTGTCCTGCACCCCAGGGAAGTCCGTGGGCATCGTGACCACCACGCGAGTGAACCACGCCACCCCCAGTGCCTCCTACGCCCACTCAGCTGACCGAGACTGGTACTCGGACAACGAGATGCCCCCAGAGGCCCTGAGCCAGGGCTGCAAGGACATTGCCTACCAGCTCATGCACAACGTCAGGGACATCGAGGTGAGCGTGGGGCTGAGGGTCTCTGGAGGGCAGGCGGCCTCAGGCCTGGACCGGCCCAGGATGAGAGGCCTGGCCTGGCTCCCACACACCTGGGAGAGCTCCAGCCATTAGGGGATTTGTGGTTGGGGCAAGCAGGCACTGGAGGATTTCTGTGGTGGGGCTGTGGGGTGAACCCTCATGTGGCCACCTCACACCCAGAGAACCAGGCGCCCAGGGATTATTCTATAAATTAGAGCCTGGCACCGTGCCCCCCCCATGACATGGTGGCTGTTTCAGGAGAGGCCCTGCCCTGCACAATCACACATGCGCAGGCAGGCACATGTTCGTATACTCAACCAGCACGTCTGGAGAAGAGCCGGTGAGCACAGTGGGCAGTGCAAGCTGTCCTGTTTAGACTTCTTGGGCTCCAGCCCTTGTCCTACCCTCTGCTAGCTATGTGACCTTGGGTCAGCTACCTCACCTCTCCTAGCCTTCCCTTTCCTAACCCCTTTGTGAACTACCTAGCTCATAATGCCAGTAAAAGGAACCCCCTAGGCTGCAGCCCAGGGCCTGACACCCAGTGGGCTTGGCAGCCGTAGCATTTGAGTATGAGCCATGCCGTTGCCCCGAAACATGCTCCAACACACAATGCAGGTTCACGCATGCAGACGCCCTCCACCTGCTGCTCAGTGGAGTCCTGCTCCCTATTTTGCTCCTAAGTTTATCTGTTCTGTTTGTGATAGTATGTGTGCCTCCTGCTGCACTCCCCTCAGCTCTAGGGTTCCGGGCCCCTGTGCATGCCCAGGGTGCAGAAGGTAGACCAGGTTCCGGAGCCATGGCAGCCTGTGGGTGCCGGTGCTGCAGTTCTGTGCACTGCTGCCTGCTCCGAGGCCAGGCTGCAACTCTGTTCTCGGATGAGAACTTCTGGCTGGTTTCCCTACTGGGGAGTGAGGACCACAGTCCCCCTGAGCCTAGTGAGGGTTCAGCAAGGCTCAGAGTATGGCCTGGGATCCCAACTACCCTCACGTGCTCCTCCTGCCTCCTGACCTGCCTTCTGCCCTTCATGCTAGGTGCGCCCCCTACCCCCCGTTACTGGGTACAGCCTGGCGCCTCTACCAACCTGCGTCTTCCCTTTTCTAAGAGGCGGCGTAAGCATCCCTCTCGGGACAGACAGTCCTGTTGACCCTCAGTGAGCAGGCACCTGGGGCAAAGCCACCCACCCCGTCTTCACCTCCACCCGACACGGGGCCTGGGGCAAGTCCCTTCCTCTCCTGAGCCTCAGTCTCCCTGCCCGTCCAGGACAGCAGAGAGCCCCACCTGCCTCCTCCCAGGGCCGCTGGAGGCCGCGATGAGGTCATGCTGTGAGAACATTTGTTGTACAAGCGCAGGGTATAATTACGGCTTTTCTTTAGAGAGGTTTGGCAGGAGCAGCCCCAGAAGGGGGACAGGAGCTTAAGGAAAATCAAACCAAGAGAAGACAGGAGACGGGGAGCGGTGGGTGTGGGGTGAGGAAGGCTCCCACGGGGCCATGAGGGCCACGAGCCGGGAGTGAGTGAGGAGGGGCCCGGGTGAGGCCCCCTCCTTCCCTCCTCTTACTCTCCTCTTCCGACCCCAGCGGCCCCTCCAGCACTGCCACCTCAGAAGCCCCCCATCCCCAGGCTGTACATGAAACAGAAATCCTGGTGTACGCCCTGAAAATAAATATCTTTTGCTTTAAAAAAAAGAAAGAAAAAAAAAAAAAAAGACAAAAACCCAACCCC